ATAATAATAATAATAATAATAATAGTGAGGGATGATGGAATTCCAGTTTGTCATCATTCTCCATTCCTGATATACAGCATTGATTCTGCTTCCTGACATGCAGAAGGATTGTATATGCACCAGATAAGAAAGGCAGCTCTTGTGGAGCAGCAACAAGAAAACTACACTCCAAAAGAGGACAAGCCTAGCAGGGCCACATACATATGGTGCTTTTTCTTGAACTATATATTTTTGCACTAGGGACATGGTGGCGCTGCGGGTTAAACCACAGAAACCTCTATGCTGCAAGGTTGGAAGACGAGCAGTCGTAAGATCGAATCCTTGCGATGGAGTGAGCTCCTGTCGCTTGTCCCAGCTCCTGCCAACCTAGCAGTTTGAAAGCATGTAAATGGAAGTAGATAAATAGGTAACACCACGGTGGGAAGGTAACGGCGTTCTGTGTCTAGTGCTGGCCACGTGACCACGGAAACTGTCTACGGACAAACGCTGGCTCTATGGCTTGGAAACGGGGATGAGTACTGCCCCCTAGAGTCGGACATGACTGGACAAATTGTCAGGGGGAACCTTTACCTATATATTTTTGCTGGAGGAGGTTGGCAGCTCTAAGCAATTTCCAGTAATAAAAATAACATTAAAAATGCAACTGGCACAGAAAATAAAATGAGAAACAGTTTTGCCTTGATCAAAGAGATAAATTTTACAATCTCTCTGATTGTTTTTCCTTGCACACAAAGTGGAATGGTGTGGATATTTTTTTAAAGCCTACAGAACTTTTAAGTTTTTAATAAGTGAAGAACCCCAGATCAGTTGTAGAGCACATGTGTAGCACATAGAATCTTTAGTTTTAGTTCCCAGCATCTGTAGCTAGAAGGTTCACATTGCAAATGATGAGAAGGATTTTTGCCCCAGGCCTTGGAGAGTTGGTCTAAATAAACAATTGTGAGCTAGATGGACAAATAACCTGATTTTAAAAGGAAGCATATTGTGTTAGTTCTCAGCCTAAAGGCAAATCATTGTGGATCAGTTTTAAGGAATTCACCAAGAGCATGGGGTCTTGCTCTCAGATCTCTGGTACTCGGGCATGCTATGTAACTCCTTTTGTAAGAATTCAACCCTTTTTTTAAATTACTAAATGTATCTTTTCCCATCATAGGATTTTGATAAAGTAGGTCATTGTTTTGCATTATTTACTGTAAAGTCTTTCGGCACATTACTACTATGCTAGTAGAACCCATTAGTGCAGTCTTCATATTGGGATCAGAGGCCTTAACTCCTATCCCAGCCTGATCTCACCCCTGTTATTTTCTTTCCAATAAGTAGAATGAATTGATTTTTGCATCATACAGGGCATGTGCAAGATGTTCTGCTAATCATGGATGTGTACAAATTGGCCCTCAACTTCAAACTGTCCAGACTGGAACAGCTGTGTGTCCAGTACATTGAGGCTTCAGTAGACCTGCAGAATGTGCTTGTTGTGTGTGAGAATGCAAACAAACTTCAGCTAGATCAGCTAAAGGTAGGTTTTGAACAGGACTGTGAATAATAGTTCAACAAAAGCACTAGTCTAGGTAGAACCAGGTACCTAATTGCTAAATGTAGAATAGATTGTTTTGTAAAATACCTTTTACTAAATTTCAGTTCTATGCCAGGAATTTTCACATGTTAACCCTTTTTCTGGATTAAGCTACCATCAGTGATTTTTGCAGCCATGGCCATTGGAGGCATATGGAGCTTCCTGCACAGGTGTCTTAATTTGGTCCAGTTGTACATAAGCCAGCAGATGGTGCTGAACAGCATGTGTTTAAGAAGGCTTCTCATGTACTGTTGGGAATGAACAATGGCTTTAGCCTCAGCATATGGAATGATGGTGCTAAGCCACAGGAGATGAAGTAGAAGATTTAGATACAGCCGATGAATGAGAAAGTATTCAGCTTCATTTGTTTCCCTGGATATAGTGATAGTGCCAAGGGATATTGGCTAAAAGTATCAAGGATGGGAAGAAATAGCACTATAGTTGTTACTGCCATTTGATATATGTAATAACATCCAAAATTGGCATCTCTCATCTATATTTTTGTAGATAGCTGTAACACTAGAGGAATCAGGTTTGATTGTATTTGAGGACATTGTGAAAGAAGTAGACATTGGTTCATGCATTCAACGGACATTTTCCGAAGATATGTTTCAAACATTTGTTTACATCTTACGCTGTTTCTTCAGATGACTGGCACTATCATTTTTCTTTGTTAGGAGCATTGCCTGAATTTTGTGGTAAAAGAGTCACACTTCAATCAGGTAATAATGATGAAAGAATTTGAGCACCTTTCTTCATCCTTGATAGTAGAAATAGTGCGAAGAAAGCAGCAGCCTCCGCTTCGAACACATTCTGATCAGCCTCTTGATATTGGTAATGTATATACGTACTTAAATCAAAGACTGCTTAAGTGCATGAGTTGAGATAAAGGATTGAAATCCTGGACATGAATATGTTCAAGTTGTTTCTCTGATTTAATTCTGCTTATATGTCTGCTTTAACTATTATAATACTCTAGAAACAAAATAAGTAAAATCCAATTTTGAAATAAAATACATCTGAAACCATACATCTAATAGCATGATGTTTGCAAGGTCAGAGGAAAGGAAATCTAATGGTTGGGTAGCTCATACTGATGGAGTGACAGACAAGGGATATTAGAGAACCTTGGAAAGCCATAGATTTGTCTTAGCCCCTGTTGTTTACTGCAATAGTGGGTAAAATGAGATAGCAGTTATATTACAGTCATTATATACAATAGTGAGCAGAGGTCTACTATATGCTAGTATATGCTAGTAGTACCACACACATAGTTAATTTTATGGCTTCTCATTGCTTAATATTGATAGGATGTCATATTTTAAATTAACTCCTCAATGGTTTACAGGGATAACCTTTTGACCAAACGAGAGGAAGAGAGCATGAAATTTTCTGATAGCACCTCTAGCATTGTAAATAATATTTTCAAATGTATCTTCTTATTTCTTGTATTAGTTTATTGGCCCTTACTCTAGGGCAGCCATTCTTAACAGGGGCCATATGGTCCCCTGAGTGACCATGACACATTTGAAGGGGGCCCACAGACTGGAAACAATTTTTCACACACCACTTTCTTATGCAACTTATACAATCCTGAATTGGCCTATATTTCTTTCATATTGTGTTTATGGCAGTGGCCAAAAAAAGTTGAGAATGGCTGCTCTAGAGTATGTAATTTAATATCTGATCTATTAAAAACTTTCCATTCTCCCCCAGATAGTAATTCGTTGTGATTCAGCATCTTGTAAAGATTATAATCGTACAAATCTACTTGTGCTTTGTTGTTTTGCTTAGTATTACTAATTTATGGTTTCAATATTCATGAAACCTTAGGCTGTCAGTTAACTGATTGATAAATAAATCTCATCTTAGCAGTGAATGTACCTAAAACAGTTTTAGCTGGAATCAGTTCTGGTTTTGTACTAGCAAGAGTTAGCAAGAGCAAATTTTAGAATGTGTTTTTCATTTTTATAGTTATATAAATTAAATTAAATATCATTCATACTTAAAATATAGCTTTACGTGCAATACTCTTTTCTTATATCAGCTTCTACTCTAACATACAATCCAGGTTAATGTGCTTATGCTTTTCTTAATGGAACATGAATTACTCACAAATAATTGGTCACTAGGCAAAATTTTAAGCATATTTCTGACTGAGAATGATTGACCATTAAGCAAAGTTCAGATAAGCCTCTCATCTCCCAGCGTCTAAGTTATATAACCCCTTGACCCTGAATCATAGAGCTAACACAGTCATTTCTCAGTAGGCATTCCCAACAATTCCAGTAAAACGAAATAATCTGTTCTCTTAACACTTTGGGTATTGTGTTTTCTCCTTTCTCCTTTGTTGCTATTCAGGAACCTCATTGATTCAGGATATGAAAGCCTATCTAGAAGGTGCTGGACTAGATTTCTGTGATATCATTCTACTCTTAGATGGTCACCCAAGGCCGGCTCATAAAGCTATTCTTGCAGCTCGTTCCAGGTTTGTTTGCTCAGATCAGTCATTTCCTAAAACCTTGTATTTGTTGGAATATTACTTCCTCCTTTCATTTTCTTATGTTGTGAGATCAGAAGTGGGCCTTAAGCTTCTCTGCTGTTTGTCTTTCTCTTGTCACATATAGAAGTGAATATCGGAATGAATGGGTCTTCTTGCATTTGGATGTAGGATCTCACATGACTCTGGATATGAAATTCCATTCATTCATTCATTCATTCATTCATTCATTCATTCATTCATTCAACCAACCAACCAACCAACTTAGGAGTCCCTCTACAGCCAGAGCTCCAAAGGCAATATTCATATTCATAAAAATTATGTAGAACAGATTTGGTATCCAGGGTTATGGGTGATCCATGATTCTTCCCAGTTTTGATAATTGCATTGAAGATTATTGAGAAGGAGTATGTGAGCCTTTAAGTTGATATTCATCTTGCCTGTGCACTCTCTCTGTGTTAGCAATGACAAACAGTCTCTGAGAAAGATAATATCTTAATGTACCAGTAGACTTTGTTTTGCTGTAGCAGACTGTGGCTACAGTTCTGGGAAACATGAACAACTCTGACTATATATGTGACTGATTATTTGGTGGCTACCAATAAGAAGTGAAGGAAGCATCTGTACAATTGCTATGCTTGAACTCTCTCCTTTTGAGGCAATTTTGATAAAGTACTAAAAGTATTGCTGTGTTGAGTCTCTTTCCATCCAAAAGAAATCATAAGGAAATCAGTTTGGTATAAAGTAAATGGAGAAGTAATGGTTGATAGTTAATCATCATCATTATCATCATCATGTGGCATTAAATCAATTCTGACTTATGGTGACCTTTTTCAGAGTTTTCCAGACAGAGAATACCCGGAGGTGGGTTACCATTCCCTTCTTCTGGGGCCATCCTGGGACTGTGCAGCTTGCCCAGGGCCACCCAGGCTGGCTGTACTCAAGGAGGCACAGTGGAGAATGAAACTCCCAACCTTTGATGCCACAGCCAGATACCTAAACCACTGAGCTATCCAGCCAGCTGGTTGGTAGTTACATATGTTAAATTTATTTTAGAACTCCTTGCCAAAATGCTGAATTTTTGAGGACCTCTGCAATTATTTGTAGAATAGGTGTTCAAAAATATTGTTGCATCCCTTCTGTATTGCATCTATTCATAATCTACTTTTTACTTGCTGCACAATTTTATGAGAACAAGATAATGTCGAGCATGCTCTCAAATCTTATGCCTTACTCTGTTTTGTCTTGCACCATCACATATGGATTTTTCCAGTTATTTTGAAGCCATGTTTCGCTCTTTTATGCCAGAAGATGGGCAAGTTAATATTTCAATTGGAGAGATGGTTCCCAGCAAACAAGCCTTTGAATCTATGCTGAGATATATTTATTATGGTGAAGTGAACATGCCTCCTGAAGACTCACTGTATCCTTTAAGTAACTTCATGTGTAGAATATGATTCTGCCTTTTATGCCTGTGCGAAAATTTACTCAACATATATGATTTCCATTCACTTTTCTCAAGCATAAGCATTTTAAAAAAAAACTCAGCTGAAACAGTAATTATTTGGCAACTAATATACTATGCATCCAGAGCAAGGGTTATGGGTGGGTCTTGAAGGCTGTAATACAATTTGGAAAGAAGAGTGGTCTCTGCGGATGGAGCAGCAACAATATGTTACTTAATAAGGCACCATGCTTTGGAGCATCAGCCCCACAATTCATAAGAACAAAGAGCCCTTCCATTCATGGAGAAGCAAGTCTGGCTCCAGCCTGCTAATTTTTCTTGTCACCCTATTCTGTCCAAATCTCCTCAGGCAAACAAACAGATGCTCTATTGAGAAATAGTCATGTAGTGGTAAATTTTGAAGGGCAGGTGCTCATCATACTCCCCCTAATCATGCTCCCAGGAGAATAAAAAATGCAGACAGCTGTGTTGAGCTGTGTCAACAAACCAGTTATGGCAGTTTTTAGCACAAGTAAACGGCTCTTAATTGCCCAGTCAAGACCAACCCATCCCAAAATAATCAGATTACAGGAGGAATGGCTCTTAACAATTTATTGTTGCTTGGCAAATCCATCCCTGTCCCCACCACTATAAGTGTTGCAGCTAAGCTCAGAATGTATTGCAAACCTTTTGATAGATGAGTGATAATGATGTAATGCCTGCTATTCAAAAAGTCCTAATATTGCAACCTTTGTTTCCTCTACCACAATATTCTGGAATTAAGATTGTTGACAATAAAAACTGGTCCTCTTCAAGGGCACCATCCTTTGCTCTCTCCTGCACTCTCTTTTTTCTGCTTGCACTCTTTTTCCAGAATGTTTGAGTTCATAGAAAATTAGGTAGCAGCTGCTGCATATGTAATATAGTTAAAGTGGCAGCACTATGCATGGCCTGGAGCCAGAGACAATTTTCAAGGAGGCAGCCAGCTGCAATTATAACAATAGCACATTAGAGAAAATGCAGGCAGAGGTCAAATCTCTGTTTGTCCTTAATGCCATTTGGTTTAGGTTTATGATTCCTTTGTTCCTTACCATTTGAATCATGAATTCTCTTTAACTAGCTTTTTTTAGCTACCTCTTTGCTGCTCCTTATTATTATGGATTCTACAATAATCGACTCCAAGCATATTGTAAGCAGAACCTAGAAATGAATGTTACTGTGGAAAATGTGCTCCAGGTAATAGTTGCCATCTGACCAAATTGGAACTACTTAAAATTCATCCCAAATACACTTCTTTCCATGGGAAATAATATATTTTAAAGCCTACAATTTTGGATCTGAAAACCTAAGATTAATTCACATTCCCATATAAATGTTGTGGTCATAGTCTGAGAAAATTAAATACATTTTTGCTTCTAGAAATCTATACATGTTAGTCCCTATTATATCACTGAGTGAACTTAGCTTGTCCTAAATCAAGACAGAAATGCTTGTTTCTCTTAGTTGCCAGTGGGAATTTGTGGCTTCCTGACAAACTATTTTGAATATATATGAGTAGCTAACCTTGCTCCCTTTACCTGTTCCTATAAGGAAGAGAAGGGACTACAGTATAGAAAGTGGTGTGATGTACCCTGTATAGTTTCTCAGATAGTAATCCTGTTCGTATGTGTATTAATCATCTCAGCCAAGCTAGCAGAGCATCATATCTGAGGGGCTAATTTTGAGATGATCTCATGTTATGGTTTACAAGTTTTGTGGATTACAATCTACTTCCTGTGTTACATTCCACAGAAACTCACATTGAAATAAATTTGATAAACTTTCAGCTGCCCCAAGACTTCTGTTTATTTTTGTTTCCTTTCTGCTCTGCATTTACAGAATGCTATCATTGTTCAGTGTCATGTTTAATTTGAGCTATTCATGACATATTCACATGTTCTGTTAAAACATTTCAGGAAACGTTAATCTGAACACAGGCAATTCAGGCAAGAACCAAAGGGCTCACTTCCCTTCTCCCCTTGAACCAAACCCAGCAGACCTGTACAAGGTTGCAAGCCATGCTTTATCAAGTTTAGATGAAACAGCCAGCCATAGTTAAACGTTTCTAATCTTGACATCTAGAGGTGAGAGGCAAAAAAAAGAGCACATGATCTTGAGGCTCATGCCTGCTAATTCTTATAATGCCGTGCCATGCTTCAGGATTGCATCTGAATGTCCACACAGAGCAAAGAAGCCCACTAAAAGGGCCAATCCTTCATCAACTTCCATGATTTTGTAGAGTTTATGAAACTTGTTTCCCAAGAGATACATATTTAGTTTCCTACTTCATGCAGCTTACTTCCTCAAAACCAAGGAGATCATCTTCTGCAAAGGCTTTTTTCAAGCTTGTAAAGCTTTTTTTCCCTCCCCCACAAAGAATTGTTCCCCTAAAGAGTAACCTTACAGAGTCTTTGATGCTTTGTTTTAGATCTTAGAGGCAGCTGACAAGACCCAGGCTCTGGACATGAAGAGGCACTGCCTGCATATCATTGTGCACCAGTTCACCAAGGTTGGTTGGATATTTTCTGGGGTTCTGGGCATCTGCTGTCCCCTTTCTCTGCCATGGCTGAAAACAGTTTAGGGTAGTCCTGCATTTCATTCTTGTTCCTCCTTTTGGATCATATTTAGCATAAATAAATGTATGGTGGATCACAAAGTTTTTATAGAATTTGTGGCCATTTTGGAACAAGTTCTTCAGTGTTGCATATTTTATTGGCTTAAATATTTACTGATCTTTGTACTGTTTACGTGTAGTATTGGTCATGTAATGAATGTAAAAGAAATGGCAGCAAATGTAAAAAGAATTGCCAGGTTTTTGTTCAAGGGAAATAATACAATTTTATTGACTCTCAGAATTACTAAAATTAGTTTGAAATGTCCAAGGAGGGCTTAAAAAATCTATTCTGCCTTGCACTTCTTTCCCTCATGCATGAACTATGTAACAAGATGCTCCTGTGATATAAGAGATTTTGATTAGGCCCATGAGGGTTAACTGCTCAGAGGGAAAAGTCAGCAATTCCACAGTCCATTTTGTGAGCCTGTATAGGCATAGGCATCCTTCAGTCTCAAGAGACTATGGTAACATGCTCTGAATCGAGGAGTGTCCTCTCCAGAGCATGAAGCCCGGGTAAGGTAATATGGAGGATAGGCTGTTACCCAAGCAGCAGATCCCCCCTCTCCACATTGCTGAAATGATCCAATGGAAAGGCAAGAGCCAATACAACTGGTTCCAGCAATGTCGCAGGAGTTGGCAGAACGACACATGCTGCCTTCGGGACTCCAGCTCTGGATTTTGCCTCGAGGTTAACTCCTGAAGCCTTTTCCATGAGTGGATATAGCCACAAGGCAGTGGAGGTTTGAAATAGGAGTTTTCCTTCTCCTAGATGGGCTGCCTTCCATGGCTGACGAGCCCCACCTACCCGGCCTGCTCTTTAATAGTGCAAAAGTATGATCTGATCCTTAAAACTTTCCTGACTCCCCGGCTTATGCAAATCTAATTGGCTTTCCTATTTACCATATTAAGGCCATGTGCTCAGGAGACAAAAAGAAATCCCAGGAAAAAAGACTCAGCAAGGCAACCATGCAAACAGACCTGGCCTTCGCCATCAGCCCAGCTTCCTAGGGAAAAGGGTCCTGGGTCCTGGGAAACGCTCTTATAAAGCAGGCAGTCCCACCCCTAGGCCCCACCCCCAGGACATGTCAGGCCATGTGCTCAGGAGACAAAAAGAAATCCCAGGAAAAAAGACTCAGCAAGGCAACCATGCAAACAGACCTGGCCTTCGCCATCAGCCCAGCTTCCTAGGGAAAAGGGTCCTGGGTCCTGGGAAACGCTCTTATAAAGCAGGAAGTCCCACCCCTAGGCCCCACCCCCAGGCCATGTGCTCAGGAGACAAAAAGAAATCCCAGGAAAAAAGACTCAGCAAGGCAACCATGTGAGCCTATTAAAGGTGAAAAAGAAACAATGTTTAACAGCATTGAAGCTAATTTGAAGTGCTTGAGCTGCATTGAATTCAAATACAGTATACCTTTTTGAGCTTATTCCAGGGGGATGGTCTGCAGGGCTGCAGCATAATCAAGTGTGTCTTGTGTTGACTGGCTGATATCTGTGCTGTCACCGAGAAAATTCTCCCCAGTTTCAATACTAGATTTACCTTTTAAACATTTCCAATATGCTTTAAAAAAAAAAAAAACAGATAACACGTAGTATTTCGTATTATATGAATGTCATTGTGAGCCAGAAGGAACCCCCAAGCTTGCAATAAAAGACTGAGATTCATTGTGAATCCTGTTTCTAACATCAATTAATTACATGCTGTCAAGCCAATTCCAACTTATGGTGACCTTTTCCAGGGGTTTTTAGGTACAGAATATTCAGAAGTGGTTTACCATTCCCTTCTTCTTGGGGGCATTGTGGGACTCTCTCACTTACCATCTCCTGGGAGGTATAGTGGGAAATCCAAATTCAAACCTCTGGCTCCACAACCAAGTACTCAATCACTGAGCTATCCAGCCAGCTACTTATATCATTACAGTACTGTACTATGAAATGGCTTTTTAAAAGTGCTAATAATTTCATTTGTTAAAAGCCAAAGTTCTACTGACTTTTGAAGTATTTCATTAAATGGTTTACCAAAACTACATTTTGCTTAGGACTTTCATTGTACAAGTCATTGATTCCACATCTAGAAACTGCATTTTTAAGGAAAAAAAGATTGTCTGTTCATTCTAATAAAAGGTAACCTCTGTACCCATTTGGCAAATTTGCTTGCTTTTGTTTTGTAAGTGGGAGATAACAAGGCTTTGTTTATATGTCTGATAGACTGTAAGCTTGGAGGGGTGATGTTGGAATATGCATTTGCTTTAACATGTGATCTGGCCACTTTTTTCATTGCAGCACTATAAAATATTTGAAATCAGTGCTTTTTTAAAAAAATTCCTCTGTTAAAACCCATAGTTTTAGATATCCTTTTAAAACTGAGCTTTCAAACATCTCTTTATTTCCAAAACTACACTTTAATTTCAAGAAGTTGAGAGCAGAGAAAGAATAGCAAATTCTAGCATTGGTAAATTAATGGCTAAATTAATGCATGCAATGACAATGTGTAACATTTTTCATTGTATTAGATTTTCATCACTAAGAATAGTTCTGCTTGATTAAAGAAACAAAATTTGTTCTTCTTTGTGGCCTCTGTGAAATCACACTAATGAGTTAAGTCTGCGCTTGCGCAGAGGCCTCGGAACCTATATATCCCATATATATATCCCATATATATACCTATCATACCTTTAAGGAACAACTTTATTTCTTATTGCTGGATAAATGAACAGATGAAATTAGTAACATTTAATGTCAAGAAATCATTAATCCATGTGATTTTGGTAAGATGCAGAATGCATTACTACAGCCTACTGCAGCTCCTATTAGCCTTAGCTAATACAATCAGTTGTGAAGGATCATGGGAGTTCGGATACAAGACGGCTGGAGAGTAACGTCCTGAGGAGTTTTGCATTATACTTACTCCTGCATTTTTAGGAAGAATTATTAGTATTGATATAAATTAAAAATGCAGCATGTTTATGATGCCACAGTTTATACTTTCAGATTTAGAATAAGAACATTTGGACTTATTTGTCCTGGAGATATGATTGAATTGAACCAGACTGTGTTGTTCAGTCTGGTAGGAAAAACTATGGTAATCAAAGCTCAGAATATCAAAGGAAGGATCAAAATTAAATCCAGGTTCCAGATGATAACTTTCTATAGTGATACAGTAGATCTGCTCCTTCGGAACTCTTGTTACAAATATGGGTCAGGGAATATAGCACTCCTCAGGCCAAAAGAAAGGAAAAAGAAACTATAGCAAACACTTTTCTTCTACTATGACTATGTAAGGGATCTATAAGTAGATATCACAAATTTTGCCAAAGTGTGCTTACATAACGCATGTATTTTAGATAGCTATTGTATTTATTGCCTGCTGTCATAATTAAATCATTCATGATGACTGAGGATGTCATTTATCACTAGGTTTATTTATTTATTTATTTAAATATGTTTACCCCCTCCTTTCTCCTAAAAAAAGGACCAAAGGCAGTTTGTATCATTTAAAAAAAATTGAAAACAGTTATGCAAATATTTTTTTAAAAAATCAAGCAAATCTTACATTAAAAGGGGTAAACTAAATCAACACCAGAAACATATTTAAAAGCAACAAGGCATAAGAATCCATTTTTAAAAAGCCTTTCAGACAACCAGTCATTAAGGGAAAACCTGCCTGAAAAGAAAGGTCTTTGCGTGCTTGCGGAAGGAAAGATGGGGCCAGCCTGGCCTCCGGTGGGAAGACGTTCCAGACTCTGGGAGCAGCAACAGAGATCTTCTGACTGTTCCAAAAGCGTTTGTGGGTGATTGTTTTGTTTTTCAAATGAATTGTACAACAACGCAACTGTTCTGAATTCTTTGTCCCTTAAATTTTGGAATAGCATTTATACTATTAAAACACAATACTGTCTGTAATAAGTGTATATTTACTTACTGTGTATGTTTTAAATATGACTGGATACACAATGATAACTGGATTTTTCCCCTTTTCTCCATTCCCTTCCCCACAAAGGTCTCCAAGTTGCCAAATCTTCGGTCTCTCAGTCAGCCTCTCCTCCTTGACATCATAGAATCGTTAGCAAATCATATATCAGACAAGCAGTGTGCTGAGCTTGGCTCAGATATCTAAGATTTCCTATATTCTACCTTTAGCTCCTTTCTGTTCAAGAGACTGCACTTTCCCCACATGTACCAACAGTCTCTTTATTACAATGTTATGCTGACCTGTTGAAAATGCATGGAAACCTCTGAAAATACAATGGTGCTTCATGGCTTTCTAAGGATACATTTGAATCCAAATCGAATATCAGGAATGCAAAAAGGAAGTGATATGGCAGCCCTAGGCATATTGGGATGACAAATCAAGCCTGATTAATCAACCAAGGAGATTTGTGTATATTAATCTTGGTAATGCCTCTTTGAACCTTTGCAACTCAGAATGGCATATCTGAATCTGAACCACCACAAGATGGTTTTATCACAGCACACCAAAGTTATCTTCTTTTTCCATCTGTGTTATTCCTGTGCCTGGTGTGGTTCCATTTAGCAGGAAGACTGAGACACATACATTGAAGAGAGACTCTTATTGCCTGCTGGAGATGGTTTTAGGCAATAATTAATGCAGTGGAGCAGCCAAAGCTGTCTTCTGTTTTTCTAATGGTGGAACAAGTCACAATGTGGGGCTTTGTTTGGCAAGGTGCATTTTTGATTTACTGTTAAAAATGTCTTCGTTCTCAAGGCCTGAACTTGTTTCCTTCTTACTAGAAGCATTGGCTGAAATCCTATTCTTTAATGTGGTAAGTTGCAAGTAGAGTAGGCTTGTTGAATTGATGGAACTTAACTCGACTCAACAAATCACCACTGATTCAGTGGTCTTCCTCGAGTTATGATTTGTTACACCAAACAACAGGGTTTCACTCAATGATAATTTGGTAAGTCAGCATTTCTGTTTGTTCCATTGATTAAGTGAGGTGCTCTAGTTGGATTTGAAATAGGATTTAGCCCTGATAATTTCTAAGATTTAACTGATCTTCAGAATAGCATTTTTGTTTTGTGTCAGGGTGAATTTGATTAAAATCACGATTTAAATTTTTAAAAGTCTGATATTTTTTGTGATTTAAATTAAGATTTAAATCAAATTGATTTTTTAAAAAAATGATTTTTAACCACCTTGTTTTGTGATGTTTGATTTGTGATGTTTTGGGGTGGTTTTTTTTTTGCTATATATCTATATGTATAGTTAAAACTTGAATATATTTCCTTTAAAAGTATAGTAGCAGAGAGATATAAATGCATACTAGATCTTAGATCCTTAATATAATCTCCTTTTCATGTGGAAACATGAATGTCAGATCTTATACAGCTTCCAAAATACATGTCTAAAACAGACAATACAGTTGTAGAGTTTATGTGATTTCTTCTCATTCCGTTAGTACGATCATTGTGCTGCTCTTTGAATTGATTAGCATGTTCAGGAATCCAGGTTAGATTTAGTAACAAAGGTGCAGTTAAATATATTAGATAAGAAGAATGAACTCTAGAACACTGATGGAGAATTTTTGATAGAATGGGAAGATTATAAAAATCCAGAGTTTATTAGTGTAGTCCTGTTCTTTCACAGTTCCTTACCAACCGTTCCTAAATTTACATTATTAACATGCTGATGTCAGAAGGTGAGAAAAACTAGATGAGATTATACCTTTGATTGGATCATTTCTGTAAGTAAAGTGGCATATAAACTCCACACTAGCATAAACTCCCTTTTCAGTGAAGTACTTCTGAGCAACATTTCATTTTTTTACTAAGCTTTTTCTTATTTTGTGACATTCTTATTTATTTTGTTTATTTTGTGAAACTTATTTAATAAAGGTTTTATAGTAACTGGAATTCCACATCTGTGAGCTAAATTTTGTAATACTGTTTGTACTTGACATGTTAGAAGAAACACAGATTGGCTTCAATCCTGTTGCTTAATGTAATACGTTGTAATTAGACTAGTCTCATTGAATCATTGAGGCTTTAGTGAGTCAACTCCTCCCATTTGAACCAGTGGAACCTATAGAGGAATTGACTCACTAAGTACTCATTGATTCAGTGGACCTATTGTAGTGCAATTTACTATACTGAGCAACAGGATTTTCACCTGTTTGTACTCTGATTAAGAAAATATACTTAGTACATATTTTAGGAACAAATTTCTTAGATGAGTTGTCCGTATTGTCTGAATCTTTCATATTTTCATAATATTTTCATATTATTGGAGTGGGAGGAAGAGTATAAATCAAGTTTGATTTGTGTAATAGCAGGCCTTTTCACGAGCAACTTCATTGTAACCTTAACAACCACAGAATGACACTACCAGTATTTAACAGCAGACGTTCTAGTTGTCAGATGCTTGTACCTGTGTGCTCTTAAATCTGAGTGATAATATTTTGGGGCTAATATTAAAGATAGCTACTTGTTTAAAATGCTTTCAGCTTCAGATTTTCTTTTCTGTTTCATTTCACTTTTGCAAAACCGGAGCCTCTGCGGCATAAACTTAACAAAACTGCTGGTGGAGAGTCTTACCTTCCTCTCTATTTTTGTTTCCGGTTCCAAAGGTAAAGGTTCCCCTTGACAATTTTTGTCCAGTCGTGTTCGACTCTAGGGTGCGGTGCTCATCCCCATTTCCAAGCCATAGAGCCAGCGTTTTGTCCGAAGACAATCTTCCGTGGTCACATGGCCAGTGCAACTTAGACACGGCTTAGACTTAGCCGTTACCTTCCCACCGATGTGGTCCCTATTTATCTACTTGCATTTGCATGCTTTCGAACCATTAGGTTGGCGGGAGCTGGGACAAGCGATGGGCACTCACTCCGTCGTGTGGATTCGATCTTACGACTGCTTGGTCTTCTGACCCTGCAGCACAGGCTTCTGTGGTTTAGCCCGCAGCGCCACCACATCCCTTCCGGTTCCTAGCAAAAAAAGAAAAAAGAAAAGAAGTGTCTCATATTGAAAGAAAGCAGACCGCCGAAGAATTGATGCCTTTGAATTGTGATGCTGGAGGGGGCTCTTGAGAATCCCCTGGACTGCAAGGAGAACAAACCTATCAGTTCTAAAGGAAATCAACCCTGAGTGCTCACTGGAAGGACAGATCCTGAAGCTGAGGCTCCAGTACTTTGGCCATCTCATGAGAAGAAAAGACTCCTTGGAAAAAGCCTTGATGTTAGGAAAGTGTGACGGCAAGAGGAGAAGGGGATGACCGAGGATGAGATGGCTGGACAGTGTCTGCGAAGTAACCAACATGAATTTGACACAACTCCGGGAGGCAGTGGAAGATAGGAGGGCCTGATGTGCTCTGGTCCATGGGGTCACGAAGAGTCGGACACGACTAAACGACTAAACAAACAAACATATTGAAAGTGGATATCCATGCTTTTAAGGAACATGACCAAAAAAAAAAAGCCATATTCTTGTGTGAAATCCCAAAACAAGAGTTAGGTGACTTTTACTAGATTGCTAAATTCTCACAAACAAGCCAGCTTTTGAGTTTTGCAGGATTCTTTGTAAGGCTAGTCGTGACAATTCTGAAAGATGGAACCAAAACTCCCATAATTCATCTGGGCAGATTTTTGAGGCTAGACTATCTTGTTTAAAGAAGGTTCCCAAATGGAATCTGCAGCCTTTTGGAATCCTCTTGAGAAAGTTGGTTTTGATTTTTTCAGAGATATACATTCTTTGTGAATTTATTTATTTTATTGGATTTCTATCCCACCCATCTAGACCAAGGGTCTACTCTGGGCGGTTTACAAATTTAAAAACAATAAAACCAATAAACATATATTGTAAGTCCAAGGTGGTGAAAGTATAAGAAATTAAGATATGGCAGGAGGGAAAGACTGCCCAAATAGCCAGGTTTTAAGTTTATTCATGAAAACACCCAGAGAGGGAGCCAAGCAGATCTCCACTGGCAAGTTGTTCCAAAGGCGAGGGGCCACTGCTGAGAAGGCCCAGTTCCTTGTTCTTTCCTTCCAGACCTCCCTCGGCGTTAGGCCCCTCAGCCATATGGCCTGGCTGGAATGAGTGACTCTGACAGAACTGGGTGGGAGAAGGCGCTCTGCCTAGAATTTTTCCTAGTATTTTTATTGTTTTCTTTTTCAGGATTGTAGCCCAATGCTTCAGATGCATCTGAAGAAGTGGACTGCAGTCCTTGAAAGCTTACACTAAATAAAATGTATAAATCTCTACTAAAGTGCCACAAGACTTTTAATGTTTTGTGCTGTAACAGACTAAGCTTATCCCTGTAGAAATTTACTCTCCTAAATAAAATTATTGTGACACCAAACTGTTATATTTAATTCTTCTTGTCCATGAAAGTTCACATTAAAATATAGCAGTTGGTCTTTAAGCTGCCATTTTTTTGTTTGTGCCTGACATGCTAGCACAGACTAACACAGCTATGTCTTCTAAAACTTTAATTCTCTGTTATTTAGAAACCTGAATAGATCTACATTGAAACTGTGTACAGAATGTATTACATGCAGTTGCTTATTTAGCTCCGATTTGAACTCACTGAAGAATATGATCTCTCATTAAAAACTGAGATGACTATACAGTAGATAATTACATTTTCCAATAACCATTTAAATCTGTTTTCTATTCATGTATTCCATTTGCATTATAATTCTTTCCAATGTAGTAATTTTCAACTAATGCTGCCAAGTCAGGTTTTTGCAAATTAAATTTGAGATTTTGCAAATTATATATCTAAAATTATAATCTGAGCAAACCATAGACTCCATATCTGTGTGTACTGTTGACAAGACTGTACACAGATTTTAAATAGTGCACAATACCCTGAATTTATACTAGTAATAAAATGGATATCCCATATCTAAATATAAATTTTTCATATTTGTACTGTGACAAAGAGGCTTATATGTTCTCCTACTTTATACTTAACAGCAGCCCTACACATTAGCTCATGATCATTCAGGGCAGGACTAGCCCATTAGGCAGACTGAGGTAGCTGCTAAAAGTGACAGTTGGAGGGGGCAGGGCATGACAATTAAGTATTGAAATATAGATCTGTAGGTGTCAGCAGCCTGACCTATGCCACTTCCTCTAGCCTTCCTTCCTACCTGCGATGGAAGATAATGATTCTTTGCTGTATTTTTAGTGAGAATCAGCTGCCAGATGGGAAACTGAAAGACAACCATCGTCCTTCATCTCAAGTGTTCAAAATATCACATTCCCACCCTGCTTAGTGAAATTATGGGAATGAAACTTCTCAATCCTAATATCTGCAATCCACATCAAACCTTATTGGCTCGATGAATACCAGTGGTTAAGATCTCAAAATATCATTGCTGTTTCTCTGAAAGAACCAAAGCATAACCCAGAAAATTACAAGCCAGTAATTTGAGTTTGGAATTCACTGTGGTGAGGTACATTAAAGCTGTCTAGATGCTACACAAAGCAAAGCAAATTGTGTTGCTTATATACCACCCCGTAGCATTTAAAGCATTCTGGGCAGTTTACAATTCAATTATGAAGGCTACACATTGCACACACACCCCCCCCCAGTGAGCTGGGTGCTGAATTTACCAACCTTAGAAGAATAGAAGGCTGAGTCAAACCAGCTTCAAACTTCAAACCAGCTACCTGAGCCTGGGGGAATCGAACTTGGGTTGTGAGCAGAGTTTTGAGTGTATTACTGTACTTCAGTTTAACCACTGCATCACGAGGCTCCTAAGTGAAGTTTTAGATGATGTCTGACCAGATAAAAACTTTAGCAGATTTGATTGAAAAAACTAGAAGTAACATATTTTTCTCCTCAGAAGAATCTTCCTCCTGGAAGATTACTCGTACCACATCAACTCTTGTTTAGGGTGGAATTCAGGGATATCTGAGGGGGCAAAATTGTGAAGCAAACCTAACCATATATAATTTAAGTATGCTTTTTATTTTAAAAGTGATATTTTACCACTTTACACAGGTAATTTCAGTTTTGTTGCCTTGTAAACATAGTGGAGGCTATCCCAAGCCTATTCTGTAGGAACTTGGCTATTGAATTATATGAGGAACAGAAGGTATATTGGATAGTTTTAGATTTCATAATTTAGACAGCTTTCCTAATTTGTGAGATTTAATTTGGGAATTCTGAAAAACTGGCAGAAAGTTCAAGCTTCAACTGTTTAAGATAGAGCAAAGGGAGTTAACCACATGCTACAAGAAAAATATTGGTTTTATTTATCTTTTTCTTAACATTACTCAGAGGAATGTAATAGTACATCACTGTTCCTCTTACATGTGATTCATTTTATGAAACTGACCTTATCAAAACTATGTTTATTTCAATATACATTTGCAATTTTTAAGATAATATTCATTTTTTAAAAAGTTTAGCCCATTTGGCCCAATAAGTTCAGTGTTCCATAGGTTCCCTTCCAGCTCTGCAGTTCTAAGATGATGATGTTGATCATGCAGGGAGATAGCTTCTGTGTCAGAAATCTGCTTTATGACCCTTCTATATCTTCTGGCAGAATAACTGAGGTATAAATGCCCTTCACATTTACCAGAAACTTGAACATAATGTAAGTAGAACTGAATAACCTAGGATGTTCTGTGTCAAGCAAGAAGTGGAGCACTATTATAAAGGCACACCATCTCTGAAGAACAACCTTCTCATTTGAAACGCTTGTCTCTTAGGATCAAAAGACAAATAATATTTGTCAGAACCTAGCTGAACTGCAGCTTGTCATAGGGTCAACTCTATAAACTTCCCAAATAAGAGAGTGAAAATATGTACTAAATGCATTGTCAGGGACCACCCAGAGAATCCATTACGGAAAAATATTTAGCGGACGCACAGTGTCTCTTAGTTGTTACTACTAGTAGGAGGCTTCTGTCTGGAAGCACAAGTCGCTTTCCATCTTTTAAGTAAGCAAGGGGAAGCAGCCGTGTGCCCTTAAGGTATTTTGGACTACAGCTTCCATATACCCCAGTCTGCAATAGTCAGGAATTCTGGGAATTGCAGTCCAAACAGCTCAACAGCACCAGCTTGCCTACCTGTGTAGAACTGGGCTATGTTTAGAGCTGGAGACGTATAGAACCCGGCTGCAATTTGAGTTTTAATTCATTAGCATGCACTAGTCTAAATCAGAAGCTACCAAAAATAGGAGATGAAAGAAAGTAGGACTGAGCAGCTGCCTGCCCCTGATGATTTCAAACTGCTTAATCCAGAAAGAGTGTGGTGTGTAGTATGTCTCTGAGATCCATTTACTGTACTGTATATAGTTTCTTGGTCGCCTTCAGTCACAATGCAAGCTTTTCAACTTAAGAGACCTTTCGTTGCTGACGTTTTTGAGATCTTCAACTTTTCAGCTTGTCTTTCCAAGCCCAGTTAGAGAAAGCCCTCTCTTTCTCCGCCGCCACTGGCGCCCCCCCCCTCCGCCGCCCCCCCCTATTAAGAGGCGCTCTATTAAAAGTGTTTGCCGCGCACGTGCTCAGCCAAGTCACAATGCAAGCTTTTCAACTTAAGAGACCTTTCGTTGCTGACGTTTTTGAGATCTTCAACTTTTCAGCTTGTCTTTCCAAGCCCAGTTAGAGAAAGCCCTCTCTTTCTCCGCCGCCACTGGCGCCCCCCCCCTCCGCCGCCCCCCCCTATTAAGAGGCGCTCTATTAAAAGTGTTTGCCGCGCACGTGCTCAGCCATCCAAGGCTCCTCCAGCAGGCACCCCCGGCGGACCTACACACGCAGACCTTTCCAGCCGCACGGAAGGAGGCCGCGAAGGGTGGGCACGTGTGTGTTTTTTTTTGTTATTACCTCAAGGAATTGAATGGGGTTGAATTGCATCGCATCCCCATCCCACCTCTCTGGACGAGGCGCATGCGCGGTCGGCCAGGCCCTGCTCTCCCTGCCTGAGCAGGTGCAGGGATGGGCCCCGCGATGGAGCGGAGGCAGCGGGGATGCCGCGGAGCTCCAGCCTGGGGGTGCCGCCGCCTGCTGCCCCTCCTCGGCGCCCTGGTCTGCGCTTCTGGGGACAACAGCGTCGGCCCGGTAGGGACGCGGAGCGGCGGGCCGCCAGCCTTGGTGGGTGCTGTCAGGGACAAATAAGCAGAGCAGGGGCCGCCCGGAGCTCTTTCTTGCCATCCTCAGGGGGGCGAGCGCGGCCGGGCGGCGCCCCCATTCCCAGCGCGCGCCCCCACCTCCGCCAAGCGGGTCAGCCTGGTCGTCGGAATTGTCCGTGAGCCTGCAGCCCGCCTTGGTGGCTCGGCTGAAGGGGAGGGCAGGTTCAGTCATCCCCCCCCCCCCTTGTGAGGGGAGACGGAGCCATACCAATTAGACTTCTCCTGTCTGGTTGGCAGGGAGGGGCTGGTTGCTGAGCTCGCTTTGCCACCCTTCTCCCCCTGGCATGGCGTTCTCTCAGAATAAGGTGGGGCAGGTTGTCCTGGCGCCCCAGTGCGTTGGTGGTTACCGTCCCCCTTTTTTTTCCCTTAGAGAAAGGAGTAGGTGTCTCTGGAGGCGAGAGGGAGGAGAAGGACGTGGAAGATTTGTTTGGGTACCACCAGCCTAATGGATGCAGGATGGCTGGGCTTGAAGTCTCCACACAGCCTGGCGGCAGGGAATCAAAACAGGGAAGAGGACGCTTGGGTTGTAAGGAAAAAGTGGCAGCAGCCAGGCTGGGGCGAGGAGGGGGATCATATGGGACACTGGCATGTTTGAGAAGAGTAGAAAGAGGAATTTAAGATACCTTGGTGTAATGTAGAGGGATGGCATTATTTCTTTTCTCACTGAACCGATGAGAGGAATCTGGAAGGACGATTTCGTTTCCAACTCTTAAGGCAGTGTTTTAGAATTTTCCATAAAGTCTTTGTCATCCTAATATAGCAAATATACACACACATTCGTAAATGGATTTATTGTTGTCCCTGTGGCAAGTGGCACATGCACATACAAAAGGGAAGCAGTATAGCAGGGCAATGGCTTGGTGAAAATTGTTGGGCTCTAGGTAATGGCTGCATAGTGATGTTGATATTAGTCTGTCATTCTGTTAGTGAACTGCCCTTTTTTGCAAGTTTTTCTGTTATGTGCGATGTCTCAATGGTAGTAGCTTTAATAAAAATGTGATAAAAATGCTTTGAGATACAACTTTTTATGACTTGAAGATGCACACTATTGATAACACATTTGAGAATTCAAAGGGTAAGGTGGACCCTGTTTGAATGTACAGTAATGAATTTTTGGAATTCCCAACTTCAGTGATTTTCAGTTATTACATGTTGGTAGCACTGGTGTGTAACTATGAGGAGAGAACAACTGAATCCGACTGTGTTGTACTCTGATTTTCTGGCCCCCTCCCTTTATAATTCCCTAGAATGTCATAGAGTTAACTCTCCAGCTGTACAACCATCCATGGGGAAGTAAGAGCTGGCCCAATTTACCCAGCATAACATTTTTGATATATTTAACCTGTTTAATAACATCAATTTATGACCTGTAGTACTGTAACTAGGAATGCCCAAGGGACCTTGCAACTTTTGTTGCCCGAACAGCAGCCGTGTATGCCACCATTGTACATTGATTAATTTATACAGTGCTTTGCTTCTTATTGTATTGTTTATTATGCTACGTAAACAGCCCAGAGTGACCTGGGTTGCTAGATGGGTGGTAAATAAATAAATAAACCCTTTGGGAGAATCTTTTAATCTACTTCACTCACTCACAAGTAGGAAGGAATTGTGTGTAACTGAAGTGGATGAAAAGAAAATCAGAAGTTTTAGTGAATGGGCTCAGGGCTTCTGGCGTGCCTAAAACTCTGCTCAGGATCTCAGATTTAGCTTGTATTGATAAATCTAAAGAAATTCCACTCATGTGGAATATATTCAAATATACATAAATTTCAAGATTTTATGAATCTCTGCACATTCTTATCATTTAGAGTTTGGGGTTAATTACCTTCAGTGTTCTAAAATTTTTATACTGTAGTCCTGTTCAAAGAATGTTAGTCACACTTCGATCCCACTGAAACAAATGCAGCCACTTATTCAGAGATAACTTAAGTGTGATTAAATATCTCTAGATACAGACATGTGATTGACACAAAAACTATCACAGCATTGAGGCATGCCCATTGATAGTCCTTTGTGATAGTTGTGATTGCAATCCTATCATTGATTATGCATGAGTAAAACTCCTTGACTTCAATGAGGCTTATTTGTACATATTTGTACGTGAGAAGATGGTTGCAGAACTTCATACTTCAGTCTTTGTTGTTGTGTATGGGGAGTTCTATTTGTTTTACTTTCAAACAGAATTTTTACAATGTTAAATTGTCATTGTAACCAAGCAATAGTTAACTTCTGTCCTGACAAACAAACATGAAAATAAAATACCCTGTTTCCCTGAAAATAAGACCTAACCTGAAAATAAGCCCTAATATGATTTTTCAGGTTGCTCATAATATAAGCCCTACCCCAAAAATAAGCCCCAGTTAAGCAAAACCCAACCCCACACCATTGTGCAGCAACTAGAAGAAGATGGCATGACTGTACTGTACAGTATTTGAATAAATGTAGATTGTTGTACTGTACATGAAAAAAATAAAACATCAGCTGAAAATAAGCCCTAATGCGTTTTTGAAGCAAAAATTAATACAAGATCCTGTCTTGTTTTCGGGGAAACATGGTATTATGCAGCAAATTTACACAGATAGATATTTTGAGTGTCTAAGAGGGATTACGAAAGAAAATATCAGAAATAAGGAAGAAAGAAAATATGTAAATAATAAGTGTAAAATAAATTATAGAAGAGTAATTTATGTTTTATACTGAAATCAGACTTGGTCTCCTAGGTGCAATTCTTCATGAAACTAGCAGAAACCAGTGTGAGTGGGTGCCCTTGTTCAAGTCTGAACCTTTTGTACTTTAGCCGTTTGAATTGCACAAGCAGCTATTATTCCAATTCTAACTTTGAATTGAATACTAGAAAATGAGCTAACATAATTTGCTAATGTACAAGTGTTTGCTAGAATGGTGGTTAAATATTAGGGCCTGAAGCACTGAATTCTAGTCCAGTTTCCTAGTATGTGGAACCTTTCTTTGTCAAGGTACTTTATACCGTGGTGCCTCAACTTAGGACCATTTCGAGTTATGACCAGCTCTGGCCGCAAAAATTTACTTTGACTTGTGGCCCGGGCTTCCAGTTATGAGCAGAAAAAGGCAGGGAGAAAAGGTGGGAAATTCACATTGCTAACCGTCGGTAGGCGAAGAGGCTGCTTCTTTGTAGCTCTTTCACCCCAGCGGTTAGACAGTGTGCGATCGGAGGAGGCTTTGGACTTTTTAAAAACTGTTTTTTAAAAAACTGTTCTGGTTGGGTTTTGCAGCGTAGTTTTGGGCTGGTGGGGTTATGTTTCTGTGCTGTGATGGGTCTTGGGGGTTTGTTTGTATTTTGGTATTTTTTCCCCATTTCCGATGGGTCTTAGGGGTTTCCTTTTTGGGGGGGTTTCCCCCATTTCTGATAGGTCTTGGGGGGTTTGCTTGTTTTGGGGGTCTCCCCCCATTTCCAATGGGTCTTCGGGGTTTGTTTGCTTTTTGCTTTGCTTTTTTTGCATTTCCGATGGGTGTTGCACGCTTCGTTGCTTTCTGCTTTGCTTTTTTTTTGCATTTCCGAAGGCTCTTGCACCGTTTGTTTGCTTTTCTTTTCTCCTTCCCCCTTCGGCTGGAACGGATTAATCATGTTACCGATGGGTCTTGCAAATTTTTTTTGGTGATTTTTTCTTCAGCTGGAACGGATTAATTGCATTTTAGTGCATTCCTATGGGAAATGGTGCTTCGAGTTACGACCATTTTGAGTTACGACTGGAGTTCCGGAACCAGTTCGTAAGTCAAGGCACCACTGTATTATCAGGTAGACCTAACCTCGCTTTCTCATGTTGTACTGTATAGCTTTGAAAGTAAAGTGTGGAAAAACATGAGTTCCACAAACTAGAAACATATGCATTGTGGGAATAAGTTTTCTGGGCAAGCTATATAACTGGATGGTGGGATGAATGTTCATACTAAATTACATACTGAAGTGCAGTCCATAAGTTAGGTATTATAACTTAGACCTAACACATCTGCTGCATTTTCAGTATATAGTACTCTACAATAGAGAGAATGTAAGAAGGTCTTTAGTCAGAGAGAATAAGTACTGTTCTTACTGTTTTCTGAGATATAGAACAATGAATTTTCTCTGAGAAGGTAAATTCAGACTGAATTACTTGGGTGATGCTGTATTACATGAAATCTTTAAAAATTACATTGACTGCCTAGTTTCAGAAGAGGTAGCTGTGTTAGTCTGTGCTAGAATCAGGCAAAAAGAAAAGAAAAATAAAGAATACAATACAAAAATCTTGTCTTTAAAGACTGATGGCTATATAGTATTTTAATGTGAGTTTTTGTGGATAAGTCTCTTCCCCTTGCTCAATTGACTACCTGTTTTCTTCTGAGCCTAGTTCAATGTTCCGGTTATTTAAAACTTTAAATGGCTTTGCACCCAAATACCGGAAGAACTTTCTCCCATACCATCCTGCCAATGTATTAAGATCGTCTTATGAGACTCTTCCTTCACTGTCAAATATGTGGTATGTTGTGTTGATTGTGTTTTATTACGGTACTGTATATCACCATTGGATCCTATTAGGAGTTAGAATAGTATAGAAATTACAGTATTAAGGTAAATAAATAAAACAGAGAAGCTTTAAAGTAAACCTTTACATTTATTGTTTTGGGTCAAACGCCTTTGACAGTTTTAGTGGAAGAGTTTACACAGTATAGATTCATGAAATGCTGTGATAGTAACAACCAGTCCTTGGTGCTTTGCTTTGTTTTTGGTATTTAGGTAATAAAGCACTCCTTTATGGTGTGGAACAACAGGCTGATGACCACAGGGTGAAACAGCTGCATATGATACCAATTTAATAATAGTATGGACAAATAGCTTTGGAATTGTTCTAGCAGGCATTTTCTGTACTAAAAAGAGAAAAAGAACCTGTACGTCCTCCCAAAATAAAATACCAAGGCAAGTGATGTCATCATCTGATGATGGTA